ATCCTTTCAATGACTGTTACAATAAAAATTGCTTTTTCCTTTGCACCTCAGTTCAATACATAAATCTATTCACATTAGGTTTCCTGGTCCAACTGACATTTGGATGCAGAAACTGGAGGACACAGTTTCCTATTGGTGTGTCTTTGACTGCTTTGAGGGTTATTACCTACACTCCAATTCTTTCTTCTCCCCTCCCCTTATGAATGCTGCGAAAAAAAATATTTTTACAGCCTCCTAACAGAATATCTTCATAGAAGGCAGCTGATTTACCTACAGTAGATAAAGATGCTGCCATTATAATGATTCTCTGTGTACAAGTTGCAGTGATTTAAATGCCAAATATGGGCTCTTCTCTTAGGATGTGATCTGTTTTGAATTTTGCTATGTGCACCATCTTACATAAGGCCTAAATGACTAGACCTGTAATTTTGCTTTTAGAAAAATAAATGTTAATACTTCTGGGGGTTAGGCATTTGTGAGTGTGTGCATGCATGCACGTGTGTGTGCACGCAAGGGACATTATACTGAATTTAGTAAAGGTATTAAAGTGGCTGCTTTAAGCTGCGCCCGGCTCCCAGCTGAGATCAGAACCATGCCTTTAGTAATTCCCCAAGATCCCTATTATTTATCATCATAGCTATCTGGGAGCTTGCTCTGTAATATCCAGTGACACGGAAGAAAGATGTATGCCAGGGTAGGAATGTGCCTTCCTCTAGTGTTTAGTTTTCTGCAGAAGCAGAGCTAGCTGAAGCAAATATTACCGGGTTTTTTTGCACTCTGTGCTCTTCATCTCACTATTGTGCTGTCTCATTCTAATCTTCCTAGTTGGCTGGGATCCTGGAGTTTCCCATTTTTTCCTCCATCAAACTTGCCATCCTGTGTTCCATTCTGTCGGAATCAGAATCTTAGGTGATACTTGAAAGCATTAGGTGGACATGAAAGCATTAAGTGTGATTAATTAGGATGTCAGTCAGAGAGCATTGCATTTCACAGGGAATGGAAACATGCCTCCACTCTAAGAAATGTTTATTGGTGGGAATTTTCAGCATGAGGCTAGTTGAGACATTCATTTAAGCATTAAAAATTAATTTGCAGCTGGACTGACTTGATGTGGACTGGGTGACTGTGTTCGTAGACCCTTGCAGAGGCTTTCTTTGTTTTCTGTTGGTAGTGGAACCATTTTTAACCAAGAACAGTCTTACAACTTGTGGTGAAAATACTCTACAGAAAAGAAGCTCACCACCTGAAATGCTACCCGGAGGTATAAATATCTACTACTGCCTTGGCCCAGGTGGGGTTCAGCAAGGATGAAGAGCTCTATGATTTTGAGCGAGACTGGCCCTGTCCTTGAAAAACTCAAACCCACTGCATCTTTTGCCAATCCTGGTGTGGGATTTAAGAATCACACCCATTTATGGTCATCACATCAGAACTCTGAAGAAAAGACTTAAGGTGGTTTTACCAATTTGTTTTGTTCTCTTAAGACTTTGGAGTCACAGAAAGTAGTGTGGGTGTGTGAGCTCACATCACCGGAGGCAAAGCCTTCTAATTGGCTGGGTGGCACAGGGGGGTCAGGTAAGTGCTGCTGGTTCATAGCCAACCGTGTCTCAATCCTGAGTCTTTGGGTTCTTTCCCACTCTTTACTCTAGAAGTTGGGGGAAGCCAGCAGGCTACAGCCAGACCCCCGACTCCTGGCCTGCTGCAGTCAAAATGTTCAAAATGAGCATTTATCCACAGTGCCTCATCTAAATTAGAAGTCTTGGTGCTCACAGAAGCCAGTCCTGAAAACTGGAACTGCCTACGTGTGTGCCCAGATGAAGCATCTGCCCTCTAGTGGAGTTGCACTATAGGCATGTGGACTCAGAGTGGTCAGATCTACCAAGATCTCAAGAGAAAGTGGAAACTTACATTGACTCTGAAATAAATTGTCAACTAGCTGACAATATTTGAAGACTCTTGGTGAGAATGGGTGGACAGTTCCATGGAGGCCAAATAAAGCATGCCTCTTGGCTGCTTGTGACCTTGGTGGTTGAAACCAGGGGTCTTCAGGGCCTTGATATTAGGAATTTAGGTTTGAGTTACAGCTGCATCTTGGCCCTCAGCTGCAGAATTACCTTTTTATGTGTGATTTCTACCAAGTTGTTATTGTGGGTTTGTCAGAAGTTTTCCTTACCTGAGTCTGTTCCCGAACAGCTTTGTTTTTTTAATGTCAGGTGCACAATTCTCAGAGAGAGAATACATGCAAGAGAGAAAGAATGGGTGAATTTTAAGTAAAAAAGCTGTATAGTTAGGAACATCCCAAACAAGAAGTACGCTGAATCTGAGCCTTGGTGGTGTCTCCCACCACTCGGTGTCCAGCTGGAGAAGTCAGGCCAGCCCAGAGCCCCAGAATGGGAATCCATGGTTGTATGAGCATGTGGCACACACCGCTCCCTCACAGCCTGCAGGTTATTGTGTTGCATTGTTAATGAGCATTGGATTGTTAATGAAACAGATCACGAGAGACCTTCTCCAAGACTTTATTGTTCTAGAAGTTGGGGCAGAGAGCACCTGCCACAGATGTGTAGCAATAGTGTCTGTGGGTTGCTTTGAAAGGAGTATCATCCTCTTCCTGTTTTTATCCTGACACACTGTCCTTTTGGCTTGCTTTGGTAAGAAGGGACAGAAGGTATGTTCCTCCTTGCTGGTAAGATGCGGGGGCTCTGAAAGCAGAGGTAATCTTCCCGAGGTGATCAGCTGGCTGGTGGCAGAGGCCTTATCTCCAAGTCCAGGGCTGTCTGGACTCTTGGTGCTGTGGGCTCACGTGGTCTTGCTGTTTACTACTTTTGGGTCTGGCCCTTATTGGAGGTGAGTGCTGATGGGAGGTGTCCTGGCCCCCAGCTGGTCCCATTCCTGGCCATTTTGCTTGCTCCTGTTATCTCCACCTCATATCACAACCTCATTCTATTTCTTTGTCTTTTGAAAAACTCAGAGGCAGGTTGACCAAGAAGCAATGGAAGATACAGTAGGACAAGCATGGAACGAGGGGAGTCATGGGGTGCATGGAATGGCATGCAAGGAAGCACTTTAAGGAAGATGCTTAGCATGGCAGGAGGTAGGTGGAGCTGGTGGGCTCGCCTGTCAGAGCTGTGGATCTCCTCTCTGCCCCTTACCCCTGTGACCACCTCAGGCACGTCACTTAGTCCCACTGACCCTGGGTTTCCTCATATTTAAATGGAGATAGTACTTACGCCAGAGGTTTATAATAAAGATCAGATGAGCAATTTGTTTAAAACAAATGGCATTAGAAAACTGCTACTAGGCGGCTGCTGCCCTTAACATTCTGATTTTTGGTATTTCTGAATCACTAGTCAGTTCCCTGAGTTGTGGCCCTAGGTAATTTCAGACTGAGTTTCTCTGTGCCTTTTACCTGCTCTGTCCTCCTCCTGGCTGGCAGGAACTGCAGGTGTCCTCTCTGGGGCTTAGGTGTGCAGCCAGCCTTGGGGTACTCTTTCCGAGAACACTCAGCGTGCTGTTGAAGACCGCTAGGCTGAACTCACCACTCACAGGCTTTGTGACTTTCGGCGGATCATGTCTCCTTTTTGAGCACTAGTTTGCTCTTTGTAATTGCATGCCTGGCTACCTACTTACTTTACAACAGAGATTATGAGAATTAAAAGATGTAATGGATGTGGAAATTCTGTATAATGTATTATGCTCTACAAAAGGAGGGGATGATGCTGGTCCTGATTCCAAGGCCCTAGAAGTCTCATCCTTGCCTGTGAGCTTTCTCTCTGGGTCCTGTTCAGTCTAACCAGCTTGTTAGCTTCCTCTGCCTCCAGCAGACCTTCTCTTCTTTGCCTTGAGCTCTTGGCCAGTGTCCGGGTTCAACCTCCTTAAATGGTCATGAGGCAATAATAGTGATTACAATTGTAATTAAAATAATAAATGGTTACAGATTGGCAATAAGTAATCTGTGGCAATATGTTGATACTAGTAACAGTTGCTACCATTTGAATATTTACTGATGCCCAGACCCTCTGTCTAGGCACTGGGGATTCAAAGTAAAATAGCACCAATGGCTAGAGTTTCTACATTGCTCTACAAAGCTCTTGACCTCTCATAGGGCTGGGTTTTGCTCACAAGGAGTTCACAATTTAGGGAGTGCCTCAACCCTTGACTTTTCATACAGCTGCCAAGGAGCTCGCAGTGGGGTACAGTCCCATTAACTGACAAAATTTGGTTTAGGATGATAAAGGCTGTGATAAAAACGATCATATGAGAACACAGAGAAGGCTTCCACGTAGAGCCTGGAGGTGAGGAAGGTGTGCCAGGGCCTTCCCAGAGGAGCAGACCCCCCATGTGACATCTGAAGGGAGAGTGGGAATGGCAGGGCAGGCTGTGGGGGACAGGGCACCAGGCACGGTGCGGTGGGGGGCAGGCGGCTGCTGC